GCCGCATTCGAAGAGCTAAAGTCTTATCTTAGCTCGCCACCCCTACTGACTAAGGCCGCAGATGGGGGGATTCTCTATTTGTATCTGGGAATTTCAGATGAAGCCATTAGTTCGGTTCTGGTGAAAAAAGAAGCCAAGCAGCAAAAACCAATCTATTATATCAGCAGCGTACTGCATGGTGTAGAATTGAGATATCCTATTGTTGAGAAAGCAGCATTAGCAGTTGTCACTTCAGCCAGGAAGCTGAGGCCATATTTCCAGTCACACCCAATCATTATACTTACAGACCAACCTCTTCGACAGATTCTGCAGAAGCCAGAGTGCTCTGGAAGATTAATTAAGTGGGCAGTAGAACTGGGGGAATTCGAGATAACATTTCAGCAGAGATCTGCAATCCGAGCTTAAGCACTGGCAGATTTTATCGTAGAATGCACCCCATGTCCTTCAACCTCTGATCCGGAGCCCAACGACTGGACTTTATATGTTGACGGGGCATTTAGTAGGAAGGGTTCAGGAGCTGGTGCTCTCTTAATTGGCCTAGATGGATACTGAAGTGAACATGCCTTGAAATTTAACTTCGATGCAACAAACAACATGGCTGAGTACGAAGCTCTGCTACTTGGTCTACAACTAGCATTGGAGTTGAAAATTAGCGCGATCCAGGTATACAGTGACTCCCAGCTGGTGGTGAACCAAATCAACTTAATCTACAAAGTCGTTGATCTTGTGATGGTGAAATATGTAGCCCTGGTGGCCGAGTTGAAGTGCAAATTTCAGAAATTCTATCTGAACAAAATCCCTCGAACTGAGAATGAACAAGCAGATTCACTCTCAAAGTTTGCCTCTGATAGCTATTTAAGTTCCAGATCAGTTTTTATGGAGGTCTTAGATGAACCAAGCTTCTTGAAACCACGGATGATGGAGATCAGCACAGACCCAGACATGCCGAGTTGGACTAACTCAATTATCTCCTTCTTACGAGATGGGATAGTACCTGAGAGCAAGCAGGATGCACTGAAGTTGAGGAAGAAAGCATTTCGTTACACACTCATTGATGGGGTCCTCTATAAGAGATCTTTCTCACTCCCTCTTCTACAGTGCTTAAATCTCTACGAAGCTGAGTATGCACTTCGAGAGGTATATGAGGGTGTTTGCGGGAGCCACGTTGGTGCTAGAACTCTGGCTCACAAAGTCTTAAGGCAGGGATATTATTGGCCAAACATGTACAAAGATGCCACTCACTTCGTTCAGAAATGCCCAAAATGCCAATTCTTTGCACATCTGACTCACCAACCAGCAGAAGAGCTCACAAACTTGATAGCACCATGGCCATTTGCTCAGTGGGGATTGGATCTTCTGGGCCCATTCATGAAAGGGGTTGGTGGCATAACCCATTTGATTGTCGGTGTGGATTATTTCACAAAATGGGCTGAAGCTTGGCCATTATCCAGTCTTACCTCTAAGAAGGTCGAAGACTTTGTTTTCAGCTCGATCATTTGCAGATATGGGATCCCAAATCAGATTGTGGCTGATAATAGAACACAATTCAACTGCACTTCTTTTCGAGATTTTTGTTCCAGCTACGGGATCAAATTGCAGTTCACCTCAGTTTACCATCCGGAGTCAAATGGTATGGTAGAATCTGTCAATAAATGCATTTTAGAAGGAATAAAGCTGAGGTTGGAATAGCACAAGGCCAGGTGGGCAGACGAGCTCAACAACGTCCTATGGGCATATAGAACAACGAGTAGAACTGCCACAGGTACTATTTGCAAACCAAGTTCTTTTCGTTTTATTTTTATTCTATGTTACTTCCTCACTTGCGACTCTACCTTAGAGATCAAATATGCATAATATGTAAAGCATATTCTAAAGAATATAATTTCATGAAATAGGTGAAACACCCTACCACTTGGCCTTTGGCACTGAAGCAGTTATTCCTATTGAAATAGGAGTCCCAAGCTTTTGGGTCACCCATTTCGATGAAAAACAAAATGGGCAGCTGCTTCGGGAGAACCTTGATCTACTTGATAAAGTCAGAGAAGAAGCACGGCTTCGAACTCTAGTTTACAAGCAGAAAATAGCCAACTTCTACAATAAACGAGTTTGTCCTCGAACATTTAAAGTAGGAGACCTCGTTCTCAGAAAGGCTAGCCTAACAGGGTTTGAAACTCGTTTTGGCAAACTGGCCCCAACTTGGGAAGGCCCTTATACGGTGGTCGAAGTGCCATATCCTGGTGCCTATGTCCTCCAAGACGCTGAGGGGAAGATAGTTCCTAGAGTCTGAAATATCAATAACTTAAAGAAATTTTATCCATAATAAAATTCTTTCAAGTGATCTATGTCTTACTAATTCTTTACATTACTTACTTCGTGATCGTTGAGATTCATTTCATCTCTTATTCTATGTATCCGAGGTCAATCAGTTCATTCATTCCTTGAATTTCACTCCTATTAATGAATACCACTTCACATATGAAGTGTTTTATTTCCTTTCAATTCATTTGAAGTGATATACTTCTTCTTAATTTGTTTGAAGTGGTTTACTCCCCCTTAGTTCATTTCCGAAGTAATTAACTTCTTTTTATTTCACCTCTAAAATGATAGACTTGAAAACATATCCAAAGTAATTTCAGTTCTTTTATTAATATAAAATAACAAAAACATAAAGCAAACACAACATGTAACGTTAAAACTGAATTTTCATTCAAAGTAAACAGTATTACAACAGATTGTTTTACTATTGTTACAATAAAAACATCAAAGGAAAAACAAAAAATAGAAATTATTCCTCCGCTGGAAGAGGTGGCTGTGTTGGCTGCTGCTCGTCTGGCAGAGGAGGCTGCTCATCGTCAGAAGGAACTAGATGAATCTCCACTTCTGGAACTGGTTGGCTCTCATCCACTTCAGTTCCTTCCACTCCTGCCTCCACTTCGTCTTCGTCTACCTCTGCCCCTTCTTCCTCCACTGCAACGAACTCAAAGTCGAACTTTGGAGGGAAAACAACACGTCCGTCTGCATCATGATCCCACCTTAGTTTGATCTAAGGACGGAAGTCTATAACATGCTCTCACCATTCTCCTCCACTCCTTCTTCTTGCTCGCCGAAGGTGATCTTTGTAATATCCACTTCGGGATATTCAGCCTTCACCTTCTTTCTGCAGTTCGTGAAAGCAATAATGGTAGTTGGTAGCCGGTACAAGTTGACGATGTTGTCAAACGAACTAGAGCTGATGAAGTTGTTGATGTGCTCCTTCATCCCATTGTGCACCAACATCTGCACATTCTCCTTCAGCTCCACGAAAGCTTCCTTCATCAACGTTATTTCCTTCGCCTGAGCCTCACACTCGCTTTCAAAGATCTTTCGTTTGCTCTCCTCAAAGACGAGCTTGGTGCTCAAGGAAGCCCTCTCTTGCTCCAACTGTTTCACAGTTGGAACCACCTCGTTTAGCGCCTCTTGTAGTTCCTTATTCTTCTTCTCCAGCTCCTCCTTCTCTTTTTGTAGCTGGTCACACTGCCTCTGTAAGAGGGAGCGCTTCTTCACACTATCCATGAACTCCTGGGCTAGACCATTCACCCAGCTCGCGCTCTGCAATTCTAAGTAGAAGTTAAAAAAAAAAAAAAGAGAGAGAAAACAGAAGAAGAAGGAGATTAAATAAACAAACAACACCACTACACGTAAATTAACTTAACATACCTCCAAAACATGCTTCACCACTGAAGCCCCACAATACCTCAGAGCCTCGTCCCGTGCTTGACGCTTGTCCACTTCGAGGAAGGTGGTGTTGATAAACCTCCTCGCCCCCGTCATGTTCTTCACCTCGAACAAGCTGCTCTGAAAGGAAAACGGGGGAACAGGACCCTTTCCCTTGCCAGGAGCCCGTACCTCGGCCCCCTCCTTAGACTCCCTGAGCTCAGGGACGAGCTCAACAGGAGGAGGCCGAGGCACGAACTGGGGAACCTGGTTCCCCCTCTCTTCCTCCTCCTTCACCACCTTCTTCTTCTTCTGTAGTGCCCTCTCTTCTCCCTACTTTTTCTCTTCAACTGCAGCTCTGGCTCCTCCTCTTCCACTCCGGCTACAATGCTGGGCACTATCTCTTTCCCAACTCCTCCTTCATCCACTTGTTTGGTTGAAGTCTTTGACTTCTTCCTTGGCTTCTTGGGAATGGCCACTCCTCCAGCAGTGTTCAAAAATCTGTCCATTTCAGCTACAAAACAAGAACATACAGTATTAATTATACAACCCTATACTATACATTAAACACTACAATGCATATAAACAAAACTTCACTTAAAGCGCTTGGCCCATAGAGCTCAGCAGCTTCTATGCATTCTGCGCTGGTGAGGTCCATGATGTTCAGTAAATCCCCCCCTTCCTCACCAACTTCCCCACTTCCTCCTCCTCATCCTCATTTAAGCTAAACTTATTCTGGTTGGCTCTTTTAGCCTTCCAAGATGCTAACTCCTCCACCTTGGTATCCCCCCTCTCCCACTCCGTATCATCTACAAAAAAGAAATTTTCCTTCCATCCTTTAATGGATGAAAGACCCGTAGTAAATAAAGCCCTACTCTCCCTATTTGCTACCCTAGGGGTGAAGTAGTACCACCCCTTATCTTTCCTACTACCCCCCTTTAAAAAAAAAAAATACTTAAACATATTTACGGTTGGAACACTAATCCCCCGAGCTCGGCAATAAACTAAAAACCCTATTACTACCCTCATAACGTTGGGGACTAACTACGTCAACCCTATACTATAATCTAACAACAAACCTACTAGCAACTTAGGAATTGAAAACCTAAGCCCGGCTAACAAATAGTGGGCATATACAGGCATCCAATGATCCCGAGGAGCAGAGCACGCCCTCTCCTCTACCCCAGTCGGCCTAACTAACACTCGGGAAAAGATTTCATAACTCTCCACTAAATGACCCAGGCTATCCTTGGCCCCGAGTTCAGACCTATACTGCTTCACCTCTTCCACTATGTCTGCATCTATATCATAACCCCTCTCTCTCCTACCCTCCATTTCTACCACAGTGATGGGTACACCATCTCCTCTGCTACCAACTATCTCCCCTCCTCTCACTCCCTCACCTCCTCCTACCCCTTCCACCGTCCTCTCCGAGCTCGATGGAGACAGACTACTCTCCGAGTCCATGCTACCATACTCCAGGGGCATCACCTCACTCCCTACTACACTTACTGTTTCTTCTTAAGACATTTTCTCAATCTCTGCACGAGGTAGGGGGGAGGAATGAAGTCAGGACCCCTCTTCAAAAAAAAAAAAAAA